TGAAATATCATCATGATTTCTTTTCCTCTTTAAAGCAGGACTTAATATTGTATCACTTTGTAAATTGCAATAAGGTCTGCTGGGATTAATGTTGTTCCCATCACTTAGTTGAAAAATAGTGAAAAACCATCCAACTGGGTAACGTTGCTTCAGCCGATGCAACGAAGTAAACTCTTGCACTGTACTACACATGTCATCAAAGTAAATCCATTTGTCTTCAATTTTAATGGCACAAGTGAAATGTCTTTGATAACATCGCACTAAACCTTGTAATGTGTAGGAACTATTATTAAATTCAGCTTGCTCATGCATGGTTACACAATTCATTATTTCATTTGAAAATTCAATAAACACAAATTTTGAATTGACAGCAGATGTCCAAATAGGATCAGACACATTACTTTCTGAACAGTGTTTACAAACTATTTTTTTTTTGCTTTTTGAAAGTGCGTGACACAGAGAATGGACAACATGCAATATCAAAACCAGTCTGTTTCAAAGAAGCATTGGATACATGTATCAAGAAAACCTTCATATTGGAAGTGACTGTTTCTTGACATGTCTGGCAATGAGATTCAAATGTTCTCTGACTCATAAATAGATTCATTTCCTCTGGGTTTAGTTTGCCATAGGTTTGCTCCTCAAATATTTGACTAAAACTGGCATTACTATCCCTAGGAAGCAATGTGTTGCAATGTTGTGTAAGGTAATACCAAACTGGTTCTCGTATATGTATATGTTGCTGTTTCTTATAGATAAATTGGAATATTCTGACAAGGCATTGTGCAACAAGTTTATGAACTCAGTTCTAACTGGCAAGTTTAACAATGCTGGCTGAAATAGATATCTTGACACCTCTAAAAAGCAATCAATTGCACATGAATGGATTCCTGGATTCTCGAAAAATGAATTCATTAGATGTAATGAAATGCCCTTTGATCGCATAGCTAATAATTATATTAGTAGATGTTGACTCCTTTCTTTCAAAACGCTTGGACGAACTTTAAAAGTCAAACAGTAACCACCCGCAAGTGTAACTTGATCCTTGTGCGTCTATCCGGCTGAAGGAATGGCGCCTTTCAATATGATGGAACAATGAGTCCCTGTTAAAACGTTTTATAATGTGACCGTTGTGTGTCTTGTTCTATAAGACTATAGTTTTTATATTCGTTCAGCTTTGTTCAATTTCGTATTTGTTTTTGACTGACTGATGTGTGAACCGAGTCTTTTGGTTCCTGTTTTGATTTGTGTCTGACAAATCGTAGTTGATACGTGATAAACTAAGTTTTTAATAATTTTGTGTTACTGTTTAACCTTTAAAGCTTTTCGTTTATATTTGATGGATTGACTCCTTCACCGACAATAAATGATAGTAACAACGTACATAGAAATAAAAATATGCCGTACGGCACTGCGCCAAATACAGTATAATTCACTTGCCTTCTATAATAAAATTTGAACCCTCACCTTTTAACCTAAAACTTGTGGCCTTTTACAGTAATAGACCAATTGATTGTTGATCTTGACCAATTACGCTTGACCTTAAACAAAGCGACTATTAGAAACGCAAATAACAAATATTCCTCAAACAATTTTATACACAAAGCGAATATTTATAGAAATGCAAATATATATTTAAATGTGTCTCGCACTGGGCCTGCGGTTATTTACTTGACCTCAAACAATTGCAATGCGAATACATATACATACATATAATCTGAACACATCTGAACAACTACTAACCTTTCAGATTGCTTTTGATGTCGATGTCTTGTCAATATAAGTACACGATCCACAACAGAATTATTCGAGAACCAGACAAGAGAGTAAACTGTATTACAAAAGACAAAAGACAGTAAAGAGACCGAACTTCGTGGACATTCACTTATATTACCCCGTCACGATCACGTGGAAAAAATCCAATGTTTTGCGATATTACCCAGCAATGCTTTGCGCGATATTACCCACCAATGCTTTGCGGGCGAAAACCTAAAAACTTAAATTTCTCTGCCTCTGGTACACCGTATATATACACTGTATCATATTACACTATTACGTGCGGGGACTAGTCAATATATGCCTCCTCGGGTTTTGGCCCTCTGGGGCCAAAACCCTGCGGGGGCAAAAATCCGTAGAATTTT